TTCCTAAAGGTATCCTTAGCATACTCACTATCAGGCATAAAAAGGCATCTCTCCTAAGCAGGCATTCTAGCGTGTAACCCTGAGCAGATCCATATTATAACTTCTAGCATGCATATTATACCATATCACATATAACATATCAACAAGTATGGGTATTTTGGGAACCACTTACTTGAGCTCGGCTGATTACACGCATTGCACCCCTTTCTTTTAAAAGATTTTAGAAATCCTCAGTTTGAGTTCAGACACACCCGAGAGTGTGACCGAATCCCTCTAACCAAGGCTTTGATACCAACTTGTAACGCCCAAAAATATTAAGTAAAATTTTCTTTTTAAACAAATCAAAACCCTTTATTCATTATTCCAAAAGATTATCAGAGTAAAAGTATTCTCAAAACATCTGAGTAAATTCATAAACAATCGATGCGGAATAAATCTTCAGGAGTGTAGTGTGATCAAGTCGGGCTCTTCCTTTTGAAACTAGAAGTACCTGAAAATGTTTAAACCACAAAATCATAAGCACAAAGCTTAGTGAGTTCCCCAAAATACCACATATCATACATACAATTGCTATGGGCTACCCTTATGATCTTTTCAATGCTCAAAGGGCCACAGGGTCAGTGGTCAACTAAACCAAAGTCAATGTCACGTCGTGACCATTCCTTGGTCATGTCGTGAGGATGCAAGGACAAAACAATCGTTATTTTGGGCATGGTCACGTCTTGACACATCCTATGTCATGTCGTGGCTTCTGGTTAGAAATCCAAATCTTCACTAAGTGCTTAATCTCTTCAGACCAAGGCCTAAAACCTTAGATCTACATCCTAAATGGCTTCATAATGGATAAAGTGTCTAACTTTATCTACTAGGATGGTCCAAACAACCAAAATCTAGTCTTTAGGTCTAAAAAGGGTCCAAGAATGCATCTTTCTCAACTTAATACATTAACTCCAAGTCTCCAACCTTCATATTTGAATCAACATGATGTTTAGATAGATAAAGTTTCCATCTTTATCCATAATAATGTCTCAATCTTTCAAGATCTAAACTTTAATACACCAAAATGACCTAAAGGACCAAGATAACTTGCATGGTTAAAAGGGGAGGCAAAAGATCATAAATTTCCTAGTCAATGAGGTCCAAGAAGCATTCCAAACTGATCAAAAGATGTTGGAGTCCATTCAACTTCAAGATCACTCATAAAATGGACCAAAAGTGCCAAAAACCACAAATGAAGAGAACTAAACAACAAAAGAGCAAGATTGGAACTTTATACTCACAATAGTACAGAAATGTAGTGCCTTTGATGGATCCAAACTTGAAGCATCACTCCTTGCAACCAAAAGAATCTTCTTGATCTTTAAGTTTCATCAAAATATCATAAAAAGCATCCAAAAGAGGAAATATGAGAGGGGAGGATCTCAAATCTTGAAGATGGAGGCTAGGGTTTCTCCCAAATGGCTCTAGAGGTGGGCTTGGTTTGCACAGTTCTCACCTCGTGACAGCCTGCTTCTCACCTCGTGAGAACATGCTCCCTACGTTGTGAGAATATACTTCTCACGTCGTGACAACAAGCTCCCCACGCAGTGAGAATATACTTCTCACCTTGTGAGAACGGGCTCCTCATGTCGTGAGAATGTACTTCTCACCTCGTGAGAACGTGTTTTTACCCAATTCCATTCTAACTTCAAACAATGACAAATTCTTCGTTTCTACTCCGTTTTCGGTGATCGTTATATGAACGGAAAAGTATTGACGAGCCCCACAATCCTATCTAATTACTTTTGACTTAATACATGTCGAACTAAAACCATAATCCATGCAAGAAGCTTGAGATATTATTTTTCCTATTTTTACCCTTTTCCTTTAAAGCACAATTTGAAGGCTTTAATCACTTAACCAACATTATCAACGTCCAATAAGGTCTAAACCCTATTCTATTGAAGCCTAAGGCCTTTACTCGATCTATTTATTGTCCACAATCCCACAATAAGAAACTTCTCAAAACAAGATGTTATAGAAAGCTTCAACACATGAAGCATGAACTTGGCATTGTCGGCCTAGCGGGTGCAGTTCTAACCATCTAATCGGTCAAGCTTGGAAAACTCTTGGTTCACGAGATGGAGACTATCATATGGGATTTGGGTGTCCATTAGTTTGAAATTTAAAACAAATGAAACCTTTAAGATTGTTGAAATTCAGACTTGATATTTAAACAATCCAATAATTAGTATGATAAAGTAATCATGAATTATTTAGAATACACAAATAAACGAATGGACAGATAATATTTATGATTAAATACCCAATACAACTTCACAAACAATCAATGATTAATATAGACGATGAAACGTTGATAAGTACGAACATAAAGAATCAAATTATGTTATTATTATTATTATCAAGTTTCGTACAGAAATCAGATTGATCCTTCACGATCTCATCTAATATAAGAAAGGAGTAGAAACAGATTGTCCTGTTGTTGGACGAAATTAAAGGTGAAACAATAATTAAAACCGACCTGTTTGAAGTTAATCTTGATCGTAGAAAACTGCAAGAATCAGACTCCTATCCTTAAAGGTTTTTACTTCTCTTCTAAGGTTGTAAGCAACAGGGTAAAACATCAGGATTTAATGTATATTTTGTCAGTGTTCCAACAACAATGGAAAACAATAAACGGAAACCGAATACTTGGAAACGAAAGAAAGTTGCAACTGCTTGATAGAGAGGAGAGAGCTGTGAATTTTGGTGGTTTAAATGGTACCTGGGAGGTCCTATTTTCAGTGGACGAAAAAACCTAGAAGCCCCTAAAAACGGATGTGGCAGTTAGAATTCGAATCAGATATCATTATCTGCTCTTATCCGAATTCAAAACTGAGACCTCTCCGATCATTCTAGTGGATTCTGGAAGCTTCCACCTTCTCATTGACAAAGTCAACGTCGGTCAACAATTTGACCGGGTCGGACAAACCCGATTCGACCGAACCTCACCAAAAATAAAATCTCCTCAACTCTCAGCGACCAATGTCATCTTCTCATTGACAAAGTCAACGTCGGTCAACAGTTTAACCGGGTCAGTCAAACCCGATTCGACCGAATCCCACAAAAAAATAAAAGCTCATCAGCTACCAGCAACCGATGTGTCTAAATCGCACCGGTCAACAGTGCCAAGTACGCCTAAATCGTGCCATTTCGCGCGCTCGCGACATCGGCTAGGCTAGGCTAGGCGCGCGTGTAGGCTTAGCCCATCCATTTATCCACTAAAACATTTGAAGGCCTATTAAGAGAAATGGTTTATAAGCTCACAAAAAGTTTATTCCCCCACCAATGTGGGATAGAGGAAGTTTGCCAACTTGCAGTATTTCCCATATAATTTCCAACACTATCAAGATTACTTGTATCGTGGAAGCTATCTGAAGCCATCAACCTAAGAATATATTTGTCGTCTCTTCTTTGTCTCTCTTAGGCTTCAATAAAGTATGGATTAGAAAGGGACGCGACTGTAAACAACACACACATATGGGATTAACGTTAATATAATATGTCATACCTTTTAGTCCAAGATTTCTCTTCTTAAGATACCACAATAAACAGTTGTAACCTAAACAATGGTGGTGGGTAGTGGAGGCATGTAATATCATGAGAGAGAGAGAGGAGGAGGAGGAGGAGGAGGAAGCGGAGCGATGAGTGTTTGGTGAGCATCGTTTTCCAGAATCAATGGGGACAGCGGCAGTGAAGCTTTCCGATAAGGCAGAGCTTTGGTCGCGTGATGGCGGCGAGGACCGATTGTGAATGTTGAATCAACGATGGTGATGTCACAAGAGAGAAGGAGAAATATAAGAAGGGGGAAACGTCACAGACAAGGAAAAGCAACATAGGGAAACTAAAAAAAAAGTTTTAAAACTTAGAAAAGTCACGGAGCAGAATATTTAACTTTATCACCAAATAATCATATTTAATGTTGCAGTTATAAGGAAATCACACCAATAAAAGCGTTTTAAATGACTTTTATTGTTTTTTGGTTAACCGCACCAACAAATATTTAATATTTAGATGGTGTTGTTCCTTGGTTTATTAATGCGAAAATAACTTTAGTTGATTATTGAGGCGGTTTTCGGCTACCACTTCACTAAAAAAAAAACCAATCGCTCTGTCTATTAAATACGTCTTAGACTAGTTATATATAAAAAAAAAACCAATCGCTCTATCTATTAAATACGTCTTAGACTAGTTATATATAAAAAAAAAACCAATCGCTCTATCTATTAAATACGTCTTAGATTAGTTATATATATATAACTGTTCATCTATTATAGTAATGTATATGTAATGAACTTATGTACAAAATTCAGAAAAATACATTTTTTGTAAATAAGTAAACCCGATTTTTCCAAACACTTAATCATTAGATATACATACATGTAGGTGTTATAAATATATCATATTTTATTGGTTCATGTCTTTATGTCTATATATTACCTAGGTTTAGTTTTATAATAGAATTACATGACTTTTAGTATACATAGACACTAATAAGAAGCAGTGCAAATGAATCTTATAACCAACGATAGGAAAACCAATATACCAACCTTTGCCCCATCCATATAAAATCTTACTCAACGTACGTTATATCCCTAAAGTCTCTTACACTCCTTTTGTCCTTTCACTTGTCTATAATGGATCCTATCTGGCTTGAGCTTCAACATGTTCAAAAACCTAATTGTATACTTATTCATTTTAACAAGATTCTCATAATTTTTGTTCTTTTTTTCATCTTATAATCAGATTTGATTTTCAGAACTAATTTCGTTGCTAAGCTCAGAAACAACGACCTTATCAAATATGTCGCAAAAACAAAAGAAGTTTGAATCGACATATGATATGACTTGGGCCTTGCATTACATATATGGAATGGAAGCAAAAACTACCTACAAAAACCTCAAAGCTTTAATTATTATTTATTACCAAGACAACACAAGATTTCCACCCCAGAAAACATTTCAAGGTACGCCGTATTGGTTGACTGTATCAGTTGTTGTAGTGGTGGTGGTGGCAGGATCATTACCCTTGTTAGATTGAGACGGAAGCCTGCCACTGCCGGACGTGGGGGCGTCAGTGGAGGCGGCTGCTCCACGGCCAGGCTCCGGTTGTTGGTGGCCGTGAGCACCGTATCCTTGCATTTTGTAGTCTTCCAAATCTTTGTATTGCGTGTACGGACTGTCTTGCACAGGCAAACCTTCTGTTTTCTGCCCTTCCGGCTGCTGCTTTTTGGCGTCCATCTTTCTCTATCTAGATTTATTGACGTCAAAATCAACGAAGGATTCCATATATATATATATATATATAGAAAGTGAGACGTTGTATGGGCGTTTATGTGGATGTGACACGAGTCGTATACGTGGCATAGTTCAATAAGAGGTGTAGGCTGCAGAGTGTTTGTGGGCTGCTGTTTTGGAGTTGGATGGAATTTTGGATTGGGCTAGAAGTTAATTTAATTTTATAAGTAAGTCATAGTTATAAGATCTTAATAACTACATGAATATAAACTTTTTTAATCTTTAGTGAAAATATAATTTTCTTGATTTAATTAATGTCTTAATAATTCCTATATGATTTAGGTCTTTTTGTTATGTCCAAGGCATTTTGGGGCTTTGAAACGTCCATTAATATCCACAAGTCTTTAATTTTTCGAACATCTATGTCAAGCACTACTATGTAAAACAATACCAACATTTGTGTTTTGAAAATATATAGACCTAATTTTTTTCATAAATTCATATTAACAATAATTTTTCTTCTTTATGTTATAGTTTAGAACCAATCTCCTTAGAGAGATAGAGAAGAAGAACGGAAGTTACTATTATTACTACTAATTGATACATTGTCCACAAATCAATATTGTGATTAATATCATATTAGAAAATATATCATCGGTTGATATAAAACGAACCCGGATCGTACAACCTAAAATATGGATGAAAGATATGACCTGGATTCGAGTCATATTGCCAAGAACAAGTTTGACTGGGGCACATGTAAACATGTTTTTCATAAAACATATTTCATTCATAATTAATACCGAACTAGGTGTGAGATCCATGTATTACATGGGTTCATTTAAAAAAAGATTTAAATAAAAAATTCAAAATATTTGAGAAGTTTAAATTTATAAGAAAAATAAGGAAAAAATATTGAATTATAAAAATTAAAATGTTTTTGTTGTCTCTTTTCAATTTAAACAAATAATTTAGATAAATAAATAAAGGAAATTAATGAAACTTTAATTTATTAATTTTGAAATTAGAAAGACAGTTTATTAATAAAATTGATATGCATTTATTATTAGATTAAAATAATATGTGGAATTTAATAGAATAGAAAAACCATAAAATGACATGTGGAATAAAAATTAATTTAAAATAACCATAAAATTACATGTGGCAAAATGAATAAGAATATGACATGTGACAAAAAGATCTTTATTTATTATGGTAGATGTATTTATCCTAGAATCCAACAATTCCTAAAGACCATCGAACTTAAAGGAAACCTACTAAACTTACATTGGGTCATCCCACACCGTAAATTTATTGTGTCTCTGTTAATATATTAAACAGCTTTCAACTCATGATCATAATGTCATTGTTTGTTGTCTAGAGAATATATATGTGGTCTATTGTTTTTCTTTTTTCTTATTCTCCAACTAGAGTATAAACTCTAATATATACACACCACAATAAATCTAATCAAAATGACCATAAAATCATTGAAAATGTTACAAAAACCGGATATAAATTCAAATAATAAATTCTGTAGATGTCACAATGTAAATAAAACAAAACGCACAGTAAAACTCTTTTTTCCCATTCATATGTGACATTTGTGTACACTACTGGATAGTACTAACCCTCTCTCCCCTTGCGTCTCGACGCAATTGACACCAACAGCCATATATTTTAAAGTAAAAAGGCGCGCACACACACACACACACACTCATATATTATATTATATATATTATATATATATATATATATATATATATATATATTTATATATTATAGTTAGGATCATGTGTAACCTATAAATATTGTGTGAATGTATGTCTAACTGTGGTCGAATCATTTGATAATAACATTATATTAATAGTTTATTAAATCAGTTCCATATTTTCGGCTTCATCCTTATTAATCTCCATACCATCACCGATCATCGGCATACCTCTTTTATCGCTAACCCTACAATTCGATTCCTATGTCCCATGGTTGCCGCAATTTCATTGTGGCTGTGGCGAAGACCGATATTCTTTGACTCTATGACCAAGAAATTTGTTTGGTCAAGCAGTGACGTAAAGGACGACGTTGGGCAACGTCATCTTCGAGAGTTTCAGGAATTGTCAGGATGTCTTTACAACTCTGTAATCTTCTTAAATATTGTTTCACTTTTGGGATGCATCACCATTCATGCTAGGGTTTGTTGAAGAAAATATATCAAGATTTCTATAAGTTAAAATTATGTGATGATATTGTAGGTGGTGAATCAGTAGATGCGAATTATCAGATTCTGAAAATAAGGGTAAGTAGAACCAAGTAAGACAAGGATCATCTTGACAATACACACTTATGTGGTTATTCTTGTGATATCAACTTCACTGGTATTTCTTCTCCCCTACGCATTTCTTTACACGCATTCCCATTGATCATGATAAAAACAGGGTCCATTGTACGTTTTCGTAATGCTAGCAACTACTTCCACCAATTTACCTATAACTGCAACAATAGTTCATATACTGAAGAAGACTATGAGTGAAAACTGATCAGTGTGTTTATTGTTTAGCAAGCTTTAATGTTTGAATCTTTAATGGTTATTGTGTTCAAAACTTGAAAAATATTCATTATGTGTGTTTTATTGTTCCACTGTTGTGAATTTTAACTGCAACATCGTTTTAAGAGTATATCCACTTTCTTTCTCTTTCAATCTGATTAAGCACTCTAGTGCATTTCATATTTTCATGTCATGACAATTAAATTTTCAAAATCTATTTTGCAGTTTTTTGAAGTTGACCGGAGGACCTACAATTCGATACATCAAAAGGAAGGATTGTTATTGATATTATTAATTAAAGCATTCTATGATATTCTATAAGAATGCATATTCTTTTGTGATGTTTCTAAATTTTTTAGAGTCATGCTAAGCTATATAAAGAAAGAGATAAACAAAAGTTGCGATTCTGTTCTTCCTTTTTATTGTTGCTATATTCTTTCACATGTTATAAAGCAACCTCATTCGTTTAGAATGTATATTATTTTAGCATGTATTTGTAATTTT